GGGCGGAAGCCCCCTAGAAGGTATTACATGCGACGGGGGTGCCCCCCTGGGGGCGAAGCGGCCCGCTTGCGGGGGTCCCCAACACCCTCAGAAAGGGGAAAGTCACCGAGCGCGGATTCCTAAGACTTTTGGCCGGGGGGCGCTCTCGACACTTACCGGCTGAGGTCACGTCGTCGGGCGCGTCGACGGGCTGGTTGGCCATGGTCCGCACGGCGGGGCGGCTGCGCCGCCAGGACTCGCGCGTCGCTGCACGCGGCCTGCAGAAGGAATGACAGCTCGGCGGCAAGGCTTTTCTTGCGCCGGGACGGCTAGGCTTTTTGTGAGACGCCGCTCTCGCGGAAATCGAGGAAGGCTTGGACTTTTCTTTTCTTGGGAAACGGGAGTGTTGGTTTAGAAGAGGCTGGCCAGCGACTGGACACACCGGCATGGGGGGACGCAAGCAAGGACGGGGATTGGAGGTTGTAGAGAGATTTAACTTTTAAGCACAGCTCGAGGCGAAATAAAATTAGAAAGAAATGTACTCCCACCCTCTCTCTCTCTCTCTCTCTCTCTCTCTCTCTCTCTCTCTCTCTCTCTCTCTCTCTCTCTCTCTTTCTCTCTCTCTCTCTCTAAACCGTCTCACTCAAAATCTCTCTCTTTCTATCTCGGCTCTCTCTCTCTCTCTCTCTCTCTCTCTCTCTGACTCTCTCTCTCTCTCATGTCTCAAAATCTCTCTCTCAGAGAGGGAGATGAGCAGAAGCGGAGCACACACGAAGATCGAAGTCGGCACAACAAAAATCCCCTTTGCAGCCAAGCCTACAGCGCAAGTAATTTTCTTTTTTCACCGAGCCGCGCGAGGTACACCCACCCACCGCCTGTCCGGCCTCTCCACACATGTCCGCCCTGCTGCTTCTCCCCCTCGGCTTCAGCCCCGCCCTGAGGCCGCTTCCTGCAGCTCCGGCCTGTGGGCTGCGTTCCGCCGCCGTGCCGCTCGCCCGCCGTGGCGTCGCTGTGGCGATGGACGCGAGCGACATCGACAGTCTGCTCGAGGATGTCGAGGTGGAGGCGGACGCCGAGGAGGTGGCTGCGCCGGCGGCGGCGCCGCCCGCTGAGCCGAGCGATCCGCTCGGCGGCCTCGCCGAGGGCAGCTGGGAGATGACGGCCGAGGGCGGGGTGGAGCGGCTGCGGGTCGCCGTGGCGGGCAAGCTGCTCACGTTCGAGTCGGGCAAGCTGGCCCGCCTCGCCTCGGGCGCCGTCACCGCCGTCACCGGCGACACGCACGTCTTTTGCGCGGCGACGATCGACCGGCGCACGCCGCCGAGGCCGATCGACTTCACGCCTCTGCGCGTGGACTATTGCGAGCGCAAGTCGGCGGCGGGGCGGACCAACGGAGGGTACATCAAGCGGGACGGGAGACCGTCCGACCACGAGACGCTGGTCGCGCGGATCATCGACCGGCCGATCCGGCCGCTCATCTCCGCCGGCTGGTGCCTCGAGACGCAGCTCGCAGCCTACGTCCTCGCGTACGACGGCGAGTGTCCGGCCGCCAGCTCTCCCGCAGCTGCCTGGACTGCCTGCACACTCCTGCAGCTGCGCGGTAGGCGTCCACCCGCCAGACGTGCTCGCCGTCTGCGCCGCCTCGGCAGCGCTCGCCCTCTCCGAGGCGCCCTTCCCCAGGCCGGTGGCCGGAGTCCGGGTGGCACAAGTGGACGGCGCACTCGTCGTCAACCCGTCGCCCGAACAGCTCCGAGGCGCGACACGCCACCGCCACGCACCGCCGTCGCTGCCCCGCCGCCGCTGCCGCGTCCGCCGCGTCCGCCGTCAGCACCGCTGCCCCGGCCCCGCGGGCCAGGTGCCACCCTCGACCTCGTCGTCGCGGGCACCAAGGAGGCTGTGATGATGGTCGAGGGGTCGGGCGACTTTGTGCCCGAGGAGACGCTGGTCCGAGAGCTAGAGTGTGCACAGAGTGTGCAACACACGCGTGATGCGTTGCAAGTAGAGGAGGCATGACACACGTGATGTGCCCGGGGAGACGCTGGTCTTCAGCAGCTTCCTCGTATTCAGCAGCACCCTCTCTCCCTCTCTCCCTCTCTCCCACTCTCCCTCTCTCCCTCTCTCCCTCTCTCCCTCTCTCCCACTCTCCCTCTCCCACTCTCCCTCCACCCCTGTCCCCCCCCCCCCCCATGCCCGCCCCAGGTGGAGGCGCTCGAGGTCGGTCTCGGAGCCATCGCCACCATCGCCTCCGCCATCCAGGACTGGGCGGAGAGCATCGGCCAGCCCACGCACGCGCCCGGCTTCCTCCCGCCCGCCGCAGGAGTGGCCCCTTACCTCGACGCCTTTGAGGCGCACCCGCCCGCGCGAGGGCGCACGCGCAGCCGCGCCCCCCTCCTCCGAGCCGCGCCGCCGCCCGGACTGCAGGTGGACGGCGAGGCGCTGCCGAACGCCTACCGCAAGGCGATGGTCGGAGGCACCAAGGAGCAGCGCGAGCGGGCGTGCGTCGACCTGCAGGCGAGGGTGGTGGAGGAGGTGGTCGGTGCGCAGCGGCGCGAGGCGGCGGCGGCGGAGGCGGCGGCGGCGCGGGACGATGAGGAGGCGGAGGAGGAGGGGGAGGAGGGGGAGGGGCCGTCGACGGCGGGCAAGGGCGAGGACGAGGTGCTGCTCGCGTCTGCGAGCTTCGAGGAGGCGGAGATCCGCGGCGCGCTCAAGAAGATGGCGTGTGAGGCGATGCGCGAGATCGTGGCGGCGACCGGCGAGCGGACCGACGGCAGGAGCACGACGCAGGTGCGGCCGATCAGCGTGGAGATGGCGCCGCTGCCGCCCGTGGTGCACGGGTCGGTCCTCTTCACGCGCGGCGAGACGCAGGCGCTCGGCACGACGACGCTGGGCGACTCGTCGATGGCCCAGCGCTACGAGGACCTCGAGGGCGAGAGAGAGCAGAGACGTAGCCGAGAGAGGGCCGAGCTGGCCCCACCTGCTCGAGGGCGAGAAGAGGAGGCGCCTCTCCCTGCAGCCTGCAGCCTGCCTTCTCGCATCCTCGGTGTCCTTGCCGCAGGCGAGAAGAGGAAGCGCTTCTACCTGCAGTACGCCTTCCCGCCCTTCTCGGTGGGAGAGGTTGGGCGGGTCGGCTCGCCCGGCAGGCGCTGATCATGACTCCTCATTCTTCTAAGAAGGGCCACGACTAACTCCTCGGCTCGCCCCTCAGGCGCGAGGTCGGGCACGGCAACCTCGCGGAGCGGGCCCTCCGCGCCGCGCTGCCGGGCGAGGACGAGTTCCCGTACGTGATCCGGACAGAGTCGCTCATCACCGAGTCGTGCGGCTCCTCGTCGATGGCCTCCGTCTGCGCTGGCGCCCTCTCGATGCGCGCGGCCGGCGTGCCGCTCAAGAGCCTCGTCGCGGGCGTCGCGATGGGGCGAGCGCCTCCCTGCGAGATATGGGCGAGATATGGGCGAGATATGGGGAGATATGGGGAGATATGGGGCGAGCGCCTCTCTGCCTTGCGCCCCTCCCCGCCGCCAGCTGCCTGTGGTGGTGTGCCTGTGGTGGTGGAGCTCAGCGTGAGAGAGGTCGGGCCGTAGGCTCCTCCTGGAGGATTGGGGGGGGGGGGGCGACCCATTCTTCCTGACGGAAATCTTGGGCTGGGGGGACGCCCTGGCCACGATGGATTTAAGGGTCCCCGGAAAAGAGTTTGGGCCGGCCCCGGGGCCCGGGCCCCCCCCCCCCCCCCACAAGCTTGGAGGGCACCGTGGGGGGACTCAGCGGTGGAGGCCCAACCGCTCGCAGGTGGGCATCTCCGCCTTCCAGCTGGACATCAAGTGGGAGGGGCTCTCGATCGAGCTGATGCGGCGCGCGCTGCGGCAGGCGCGCGGGGGGGGGGGGCGGCTGCTGAGACACGCCCGCACGGCGCGACCACGACGCTCCCCACGGCACGGCCTCACAAGCGCGCGAGGGGCGGCTGCACATCCTCTCGGAGATGCGGAAGGCGTGCGGCGACTCCGAGGTGCGGCTGCCTCCCGGGGTTGGGCGGATCCGCAGCTTTGCGGTGCCGAGCAAGGTCGTCGGCAAGATCATCGGCCCCGGCGGCGCGACAATCAACGGCCTCATCTCCGACACGGGCGTCGACAACATCTCGATCGACAAGTCGGACCCCGCGGTGGTGACGATCACGTCAACCTCCGACGAGGCGATCGCTCTCGCCGAAGCGCAGGCAGCGCTCCCCCCCGTCGCTCTTCCGTCGCCCCTCCCCGCCCCCCTCCACCAAGCTCCGTCGCACCCTCCTCCCGCGTGCGCCCCCTCCTCCACCCGCCCTCCTCCACCCGCCCTTCCAACCCGCCCTCCCACCCCGGCCCCTCCTCACCACGCCCCTCCCCACGCAGGTGCGCGAGCTCGTCGGCGAGAGCGGCGCCGCCACCGAGAGGGCGCCGAGGCCGTCGGGGCCGCCGCCGCCGCCGCCGCCGCCCATCCGCGTCGACGACATCTACGAGGCGTGCGAGATCAAAAACATGGTCCCCTTTGGCGTCTTTGTGGCGCTCCGGCCGGGGGTGGACGGCTTTTGCCACATCTCGGAGCTGTCGGAGCAGTACATCAAGAGCATCGACCAGGTGGGGCTCAAGAGGGGAGACGCGGTCGACGTGCGCGTCACCGAAGTCAACAAGGACGGCAAGTACCGCGTGGCCGTGCTGACCGACTTTGAGATTGCGCCGCCGCCAGCGGGCAGATAGCCCGCTGGCGGGCCACCGGGAGATCGGCTGAACGCCAGGACGCGGGCGCGCGTCTCGAGGCGTCTCGCGCCGCGTTCCGCCGCACGCGCGCGACCATCTGTACTGTTCGCGAGATGCGAGAGAATGGCGTGGCATGACGCCGCGAGGTTTGAACAAGTCACGCTCACGGCGCCTGACGCGTGATGTCGGACTCTAATACACCGCAAAGCGGCGGCAAGGGAAACGGAAACTTACAGTCCGGGGACCGGGCAGAAGTGGAAAAAGAAAGTGCGACCGCGCGCGGCGCAGAAGATTTCTAACGATTTTCTTCCGTTGAGCCGCGTTGTGTTAGTGTGCCAGAGTGGCAGTGCCGAGTGTGCGCCAGTCTTCTCCCGTGCCAAGGCGAAAAAGAATTTAAACAAAAGAACTCTCTCACACAGCAGACAGGCTCGACACAGGTGCGAAAAAGAAAGAAGACACGTCAAATTGGCCGCTTTATAGAGGAACAACTCGGCGTGTCGGAGATGTGTTGATTAACCCTTTTACGTACACATTTCGAGCGAGTGAAAACCAACTCCTGAGCACGGCGCCGCAGGCGCCTGTTGATAGGTCCAGGTGATAGCCCTGGATGGGCAATGCATTCGCCTACCTGGGCCTCAGATCGCCCGACCGCGTCCCGGTGCTCTGTGGTCGGATTTGTGACGCCGCCGCACCGCGCCGCGGCCGGGGGCCCGCCGGAGGACGAGGATGGCCGTGACGGACCGGGACGAGCTCGGGGAGGTTCAGTGTCAGTGAGTATAGGATTGTAGAGGCCACCCATGTGCACAATATCTTGACTGAGAGCTAAGCCAGGGGAGGCGATGCCGGGGCCGTACAGCAGCTTGATGGTGCTTCGCCGGCGTAGAAGCGGCCGCGGAGGGCTCCGGGTGCCTGAAAAAGACGGAGTTACGTGGGCTGTGGGAGAGTTACCGTCGACTCAAACGACACTGTGCCGTGATCCTCTCATATATGGCTAAATAATTGACCGAGCCAAAAAAAGTTCCACCGCTACGACTGGAGATATATCGAGATTTGCTCACCATGAGCGGAAAAGAAGCAAAAGGGTTAAACCACAAAAAAAAACACCGCTCCTCCTTGGGCTCCGAGAGAACCTTGTTGCCGCCGACCTCGGCGACGCCCCGACAAGGAGCCCTCGCCGCTACCCTAGAACCCGACCTCGGCTGACGCCCCGACAAGGAGCCCTCGCTGCTACCCTAGAACATACATGGGAGCCTGCGGCAGCAAACGCGCACCCAACGTGGAGGAGCGCTCCGAGCGCCTGCACGAGTTCTTCGGGGCAACCATCGATTGCGAGGTCCGGCCTTCCGGCCTCGGCAGCGCGGAGGCTGTGGCGCAAGACGCAGAGCATGGCAAGGCCGCTCCCTCGGCTGCCGCGCCGGCGGCAGCCGAGGGTGGGCCGTGCGTATTCGAGGGCATGCAACCCGCCGGCATCAATGCGCGGCTGTCGCAGGGCGCTCTCTCTCCCGAGGACCTCGAGATCCAGCGCACGGAGCTCAAGGAGGCGGCAAAGCTGATCGACTCGATGGGCGCGCGCGGCGAGGAGGCGGCCATCCTCGCGCCGGCCGAGAAGGACGGCTGCAAGTACGAGCTGGCCATCAACTGGGAGTCGTCGCACGTCGCCCTCGTCACCCAGAAGATGCAGGCGGTGCCGCTCTCGATGCTCGAGTGCGTCGCTCTCGTGCGGGAGCCCGACCTGATCCCGCTGCCAAAGTGGCCGGGGCTGCCTCGGATCGAGCGGATCGCGCTGGTCCACGAGTTCACGCCAAACAACGTCGTGTACCACGTCTCGATCGAGCCGTGGGGTCCCTTCCCCGGCTGCGACTCGGTCTGCTGCGCAGTCGGCTTTGTCCGGACGGACGAGTCGGGCAAGGCGTGCGTCGGCTTCGCGCGGTCGCCGCCGGAGGACGAGCAGGAGGTGCACCGCGGGTGGTCCGTCCTGCCCAAGCAGAAGCGGCGCACGCGCATGCAGGTCGACGGCTGCGCCTGGGTCGTCGCCCCTTCCGCCGAGGAGGGCAAGGTGGACGTCACCATCTTCATGAAGACGCGCATCCCGATCCCGCACTGGCTGGTGCCGCCCGCGCTCGTGCGGTGGGTGACGCCAAAGGTGTTCCGGCGCATCCTCCCCCTGCTCACCGCCGACAAGAACAAGGAGCCCTTCCGCGCGCGCGTCGCCGCCGACGATCGCGGCTGGCACACACGCGCGCAGAGGCTGAGAGGAGCCCCTGGTACCGTCGCCTCTGACAGTTTCTGGACATGTCCCCGCAGGTACACCGCGGTGAAGAAGCAGCTCGGCCTCGACGTCGCGGACGAGGACACGGCGGCCGGCTCGCTGGCGGCGAGCCCGCCCGACGAAGGCTTCGCGGCCGCCATCCGCAGCTACGACTGGGACGCCGCCGAGAGGCTGGCGACGACGGCGCAGCAGAAGGCGGACCTATCCGACTCGCGCAAGCGCGTCAAGGCGCTCGAGGCGGCCGTGGCGGCGGGCAGGCAGCAGGACGCCCTCGCCCTCGCAATCAGCCCGGTCGAGGAGCGCAAGGTGCGCAACTACTTCAAGAGCAAGCTCGCCGCTTCGTCGCCGCGTGGCTTCTTCGACCCTGCCGCAGACTACCCGACCCCGCGCGACGTACCCGCGGCCGCGTGAGCATCCGGCCTCTAGGCGCGTGGGCTCTGCTATGTGAGCTGTGAGTGCGAGTCGCCGCTCGCAGATGCTATATACGTGTGTACAATATATCCTGTGGCTGTGCGGCGTCGTGCGGTCGTGGGCGGCGCTCTCAGTCTCGCTGTCGCGCTCCGCTCGCTCTCGGTCGTTTCCGTTTTTGTATTTTTGTATGTTCTCTGTCAGATAAGACGTTCTACAGGCCTTGCTCCTTGGCGACCATGGACGTTGGACCAAGCAACGAAGCAAGTCCAAGACTGGGGGCACATGTGGCGGTTACTCAGACAGAGCTCAGAGGGAGTAATCGAGATCTCTGCGAGAGAGTAGTAGATCGCAGACAGTAGATCGCAGACCAGGAGTGGAGATCGATTCTACCACACAGTCGGGCTTGGTTGAAGATGAAAGATTGAGATCACAGATTGTGGATCGTGTTGGCAGTTGCCAGGAGGTCAAAGGTGGAGACTGGAGATGGAGAACACAGATCGTAGATCCTCGCGCCGGGCATCCACCACTGGGGCGGAGATTGGAGATCGAGATTGGAGATTGGAGATCGCAGCTGGCGGCAGCAGGGGTCAAATGGTAGCTTGAAGATCGGAGATCGGAGATGTGCGGTGTGAATGAATCCATATAGCAGAAGACGTTCTACAGGCCTTGGCCCTTGCTCCTTGGCGACCAAGACTGGGCACATGGCGGTTACTCAGACAGAGCTCAGAGGCGGCGCGAGCCCGCGAGGGCGCGCAGGGCCAGGCCGCGGCTGCCACGTGCCAGGCCTTCCGCACGCCGCGTCATGGGGGGCAGTGGGGGGGGGACGGGTGTTGGCAGGCGCTCTTGGTCTCCAGTTGGTCTCTTGCTCTCGAGCCTCGAGCTCGATCGAGCGAGAGGCAGTCAACTCTCTGCCCTGGTTGGCTGGTTGCGACTCCGAGTCCTACCGTGACGCGCCTGGCCGCTGGCGAGGCGGCGTGACCCAAGCGCAGCGCTCAGCGGTCCAAAGGGTCAATGAGTGTACATTCTCACATAGACTGACGGTAAAGAGTCATAATTTTTTGCACACATTGGGTGGCACGTGCCAGTGCGCGCCAGTCCCGTGCCCAGTGAGGGGGTCATACAGTTCTTTTGAGCTAGCCCTCGATGTTAGGAAACAAACGCAAAAGGTGGACACACGCATGGCATATCGCTCTCGGGCCCACAGACATCACAAAACCAAACATCTCGGACATCCCGCACGCCCGCCGCCCCCGCGCGCGCCCCACCCCGGCCGGGAGAAAGGGGAGAGGGGAGTGACAGTTTGGGAAGGCAAGTCGAGATTACCTCGCACTCATAAATAAATAGAGCAGTCATCTCCAAGAGAGATGGGCGACGCACGAACACAGAGGCACAGTGCGCACCCCGCCCCGCTCGCAGGGCGTGCATCACACAGGACTGTGTGATTCCTCGGGTTTCTGGGGACTCTTGGCAGGGTGTGCTAGTCGCTCGCTACAGTCGGACGGTTCCGGCGCGTCTGATAGGCAGGTCGGGCTCGAGTGAGGGCCGCGGTGCGTCGCGGTCGCGGCCAGCGCGCGGGGCCCGGCTAGGGCTGCGGGCGTGATCTCGACCCACGCGCCGGAGCGCGAGTAGTGCTTGATCAGCCGGGCGGTCGCCGCAGCCACCTCGCGACCGGCAGCTCGTCGAGCCACTCGCCAAAGGTGCCCTCCTCTTGCGCCGCGGCGAGGAAGCGTTCGCCTAGGCCATATGCGCGGCAAGCCCGGAGGAGCGCCTGCAAGGAGCACCGCCTCGCAAACGAGACCGCCTTCGACCGAGTTGGCCACTCCATCCCCCCGGGCGAGTGCATGATCGTCGTCCTCCAGCTCCTCGAGCAGCCGTGCAGCCGTCATGCTTGCCTGCGCTCGCCGCACCGCGTTCAGCTCCTCCTCCGCCGCCGCGCCCTCCGAGGCCTCCGCCGCCGCCGCGGCGGCGGCGGCGGGCGACGGCGTCGCGGTCGAGTTACTTTTCTGCGCAGGTAGTGGAAAAGAAAAAACGCGTTCACGCCCCACCGAGCCCCCCACGGCCATGCCGCCGCGCCAGCATGCTCTGCAGCGCCCCTCATTCCCCACAGAGGCTGCTTATCCTCGCTGCCCACGAGGCGGGTCTCTGGCGCGTGCCTGGCGGGCTCAGCCTGCTGCTCCGGCTCGCGCCGACGTGCCGAGCGCTTTCGAGGCTCGGCGAGTCGTTTTGGCGTCGAGAGCGGTGCTGGGCCATCTCTGCTGGGACGAGCGCACGCGAGTGAGATTTGGTCGAACATGGCACGAGACCGCGTGCGTCCTCGTGTGCGGCCCTGGGTGTTGTATCCATTCGTGACCTCGCCTCGAACCCTAAGTTTCTTTCGCACGAGGCCAGCCCCGACGAGAGCATGCTCCGACTTCTGCGACGTGGCACACCCGCAGCCGCCGCTCGCCACGGCTGCGCAGCCGCCGCCGTGGCTGCGGCTAGCATCCTCCAGCGCCACTGGCCAGCATCTGCGTTCGGACAGGACAGCTTGGGGTTGCGAGCGTGCCGCACTTGCACACCCGCCGCGCCCTCCGCTCCCGCCTTGCCACCGCGCAATGGTCCGACGCTTGCCGAGTGGGTGGGCGCGCTGCTGCCCTGCCCGGATGCGCCATCCGCGTCCGACCACCTGCTGGTTCCGAGCCTCGATGGCGCAGCGCCCTCAGCCGACTCCGGCGCCTCGCCGCCACCGCCGTGGCTGGTGGAGAGGCTGCTGATGGCGGTGCAGAAGAACCGAACGACGTACTCGAAGAAGCGCATCCGGCGCAACGCGCAGCTTCTCGTCCGCGGGCCCAAGCTCCAGTCACACCTGAGTGCGCGAGCGCGTGAGGCGAGAGTGGCCGGCCGGGAGGGGCGGCAGAGAGCACCCCGCGGCACACGACTGTAGGCATCTGCCCCGTCTGCGAGCGGACGCGCGCGCCACATCGAGTCTGCGACCGCGAGGATTGCAGGCGAGAGCGCGCTGTCGGCTTGCATTTGGCCCCTCGCGTTCCCCCCGCCAACCCTGCCGAGCCCTCGCCCCCCAGGACTTACTTCAAGCACCGCTGGATGTGAGTGAGGCAACTGCCCCACTCGCGCACTCGGCCTCGGCTCGGGTTGCCCCCGAGAGACAGGGCTCCTCTCCCTCGGCACAGAGGGGGCGCGCTGCGACTGCTGGTGCTGCGCGTCGCCGTCGCGCCGGCAATAACCGGGTGAAAAAAGGATCTCGTTTTTATGCTATAGTGGCCTTTCATTTTTCTGTGTGTGTAGAAGAGTGAGGGCAAAGATTTCGTCAGGGAGGGGGGGGGGGGGGGGGCACTGGAAACTAGCGCACACCGCGGCGGAGCATCTCCGGTCGGCGCCCAGCGCGTGCCTAAGTGTGGTCGCTGTCCGGCGGCGCGGCCTGTCGCCTCGGCGTCAAGATCTCCGTGTGAGCAAGAGCGCCGTCGCAATCGACCCAGCGAGCGCCCCAGCGCACGCGCTCCAACGCGGATCCCTCACAAGCTCTGCGACCTCGGCCATCCCCTCTCTTACCCCGCCTCTCCCCTGTCCCGTGCTCCTCCCTCCCCACTCTCTGCTCCCCCCGGCGTCGCCCTCTGTGCACAAGCCAACCGCGCCGCTGCCGATGACACCGCTAGCGCGTCCCTCGTCTCGCCCGCGCCCGAACTCCTCATCGGCCGCCGCTTCCTCCGCCGCCTCGGCTGCCGCTTCCGCATCCGCCACAGCCGCAGACCCGCCCGCCGCCCGCCGCCCTTGCGGAGCCTCGCCCCGGGAATCATCTGGCCGGACCGAGGCGGCTCGGAACCCCTGCCGGAACAGCCGCTCGCGCTCCGCCGCCACCGCCGCGACCGCCGCACTCGTTGCCGCCTCCCTGAGGAAGTCAGCGCGGTGCGCCTCTCTCCGCTGGAGCAGGACCTGAGAAGAACGAGGGCGAGGGGCGTGGGCCGCCCGAGGCCCTCTCCGGCCGAGGGCTGCCCCGCCCCGCCTGAGTCCCCACGAAAATGGTGGTGTTGCAGGCGAGTAGAGCGAGCCACACGCCCGTGCTGAGCAGCTTGTTCTTCTCGCCGAGCAGGATCTCGGCGGCGTACTTATCCTGCATCGCACGGAGGTATGAGCGCTGCGCACGCTCAGCCTCAACCTCAGCCTCTGAACGCTCGTGCAGCGCAGCCGATATGCCTCCCTTGAGTGCGTGCTCCTTCGCCGTCAGCTCAGTGAAGCGTGTCACGTCTACGCTGTCCCAGGACTCTCGCCGCTGCATCAAGGACGTGAGCTGCTGCTGCGTCGACGCGTGCTGCGATACGACCTCGTCGTGCGAGGCCAAAGCAGCTGCGCGCCGGTTCGTTGCCGCCTCGAGGGCTGTCTCGAGCGCCGCAACCGCCTTCTTCGAAGCCTCGATCTCGAGTATTCCACTCGCCTGCGCGGCGCTCAGCCACAGCCGCTCGGCACTGCGACGTATCGACATCCGCGCGCCCGTACAAGTTATGACTAAGCTCCTCGCGCCGGACCGGGCACGGACTGGCGCGCACTGGCACTAGATCTTACCAGGTACACGGGACAAGCCCCGCCATCGCGTCGAACCAGAAAGGCAAAAAAACGAAAATACATACGTTGTCACTTGTAGTGAGCGTCGGGCTGGTGGTTCGACACCGAGTTTGAAAGATCTGTTTCTCTACGTCTCTTCACAGGAAAATCCTGTGAAGAAAAGCGGAGAAAAAACAGAAACCTTTTCTGCCTCGGCCTTAGCCGTCGGCACTCCGAAAGCGTGCTATCCAAGTAGCACGCAGCCGGGTCCCGAAGGTGTCCCATCCCAAATTCGTGCCGTCGACAGACCAGATTCGTGGTCCCTTGGTCGACTACACCCGCCTTTGGACGGTAGCCCGACACAATACATTTGTCTGTCTTTTTGGATTTTTGGTTCGTCTGGGTAAGGGTTTTGCAAGAAACCTCCTCACCACTGCGAACACTGTCTTGCTCGTAAGAGTCGTTCGTCCTTTGTCCGAGCAAACGCGCGCCCGATCACCCCGTTGAGCACGTGTGCAGGGTATCCGAGCGCTGTGAACTCCCTGAGCTTGCTCGTCACGCTGAGCGCGAACCCCTCGTCATCGCTCGCCATAGCACTCACCTTGAGCAGGCATCCAACGACTATTCCCTCTTTCATCTTCGCGCATGTGAAGCTATCCCAGCGATGGTAGCGCCACACCCGAGGCTCTCTCTCGCAGCCCTCATTGACGTTCTTGAGTCTCGTCCGGAAACCTCCGTTCGCGTCGAGCTCGAGAGCCGTCTCTAAAAAATGAGCGTTATCGGCTGCCTCCAGCTTCAAAGGCGCCCAGTAGCACTCAGAACGACGGAAATCCTCCCGGAAACGATCGACATCCCATGCGTTATCGTCTTTGGCAAATATCAAGGGACTTGGCCCAGCCGCCGAACTGTGATGGGACACCCTCGGAATCCAACTGCGTACTGCTTGTGGCTACTCGAGTAGCTAGCACGCTTTTGGCATGCCGACGGCTAAGGCCGAAATCGTTATTGTTCCTCTTGCAGGTGTGAACACAAACAAAGAAAGGATTAGCTGTATCACTCAGCTGTGCTCCGCTTATACTTACCTACGAAGCGTGAACAGCGTCACGAGTTTGAACAGCGATCCTTTGAACGATCTCGGTGTCGAAACACCGCTCTGACAGCGCTCAACAGCTACACAGGTTCGGTCGGCCCCATCCTGCGGGCGGGGCGATAGGGGCCTGCTCCCCTGCCGCCGCTGGAAGGTCTCTGGGGGAGCGCGGGGGGCCTAGAGGGTATCCATGCGGGGGGGAGGTGGGGTCACATGGCTCGCCGCAGGCGCCGATTTTTCGAGTTTCCCCCCCCGAATTGTTACTTGTTTTCCTGGGAATTCGGCCCCCCGTCCGTATTGCGGCCAATGCTGTCCTAGATGCTATCACGCCTTGCGACAGCCTGTCGGCGCTGCTGACCGTGCCCTGCTGCACAATTGATCACCTGCATAGCTCGCGGCCTTAGTATCCAGCATTCAGTGACGAGCTGATCGTACGGCCAGTAGGAAGGTGTCCTTCCAGCTGCGTGCACACTTCTGACGCAATGCGCGTCACAAACTGCCTCGGCGACTGGCTGCTGGCACTCTCGAGGCTATGCCTACGCAGCCTCGCGCGCATGGGCAGTCAAGATGGCCTATGCACCTTCTCAGGACAGCGCCGGTGCCTCTCTCTTGGACCGGCAAACTTGGTGGTCTCGTGTCACCAATGTGGGACCAGTGCGGCATCGCGCCATCGACAGCTCTGAACTGCGCCTCACCACTGACCGGGAAGGCCGCCAAGTGGGCCAACACCGGTCGCACATTATGGCAGCAGTCAGCAGTTCATCTCTGATAGCTAGAGCAGCAGCGTCAGGGTCGCAGGGTCGGATCGTGTCAAGCCTCTCGCCCGGCCGGCCGCGTGCAGACGTCGGCCTGTCTGCTGTCTGGAGTGATCTTTCGGCGGTCAGTACGACCGATCAGGTCGGAGATGGTTGGAGGACCTGTCTGTATGTACTTCGCGAGATCTCTCCAAAGCTGCCCTCTATTTAACCGTATGTAATCGGAAAGTTGGTGCTCTGAGCGACTCTGAGCGCCGGAGCCCCGTTTCCGCACACTGCGGCGCGGCGCACGGTGTGGGCCGGGGGGCCCCTGTGGGCCGGGGGGCCCCGCGCCCTCCCAGAGAGGAAGGTGCGGCATTTTGGCGGCACCCAGAGGGAACAGACCCCCTATCCGGGTAGGAGCCCGAGTCCAGCGAGATCTACAGTGGCGAAGTCCCCCCGTGGACCGACCCTCCGATTTCATGAGACGAGAACAAACGGAGTGAAAAAATAGGGCGCCGCCAGACTGTGGCCACCCTACAGCCCGAGAGAGAGAGACAGCCCACCTCCCGAACCCGCATTTGGTACGCCGTTTCGGCACCCAATTTTTCGACCATCACGCCGCCGAATTGGGGCGTGTCCCGACGGAGACGGAGGGAGTAAGACAGAGAGACGCGCGCCCCCGTTTGCCTAAGAGCCGCCCGACCCCCTTGGAGCCGTTTGTGGAGCTCCATGGCGAGAGCCCGCAGGGAAGCCGCGGATCCCGACTCGCAGCCGCCCCCCTCGCCGCCGCCTTCGCCCGCCTCCCTTCCTGCAGACCAATATTGTCAGCCGACACTGCCCAACTCGTGGCGATGGGCGGGATCGTTTGAGATGTATGCAGGCCCCCAAAACGACGAGTTTCTGCCCGTCGCTCTTGCTGGTGTGCACCCGGGATCAGCTCAACTCGGTGACGAAGTGGCCGGCGGCGGAACTGAAATTACTGACATACATGTCTTTGCGATGTGGTTCTCCATCTCCCGATTCTCCTCCGACTATGGATTCCAGCAGTCAGCCATGATCCCCTGGCGGGCAGTGGAGGGGGTGGACAAAGATACTGGCGAATTCGACGGCTCGCGTGGCTGGTATGAGCCGCGGCCCATGAACGTCTACAGCACCTACGGGCCGGACGGCGCAGGTAAGGAGGACGACGGCTCGACCATCTGGGCCGACTGGATGAGCTGCTGTAGCCCCATGTACCTCTGCACGGAGATGTTTTACTCGTGGGTCCTTGCAAATGGCGTGCTTGGCTTTGCTGCATTGGCGCTCGCCTCCCTCACGCTCCTCTTCCAGCTCATGATGGTCGACTTTGCGTGCGCCTCATCCCCCCCCCCCCCAAAACCACCGTGGGTGGTTGAGCCTCCCCCTCCCTTCCCCATTGGCGCAGGGTGAACAACAACTTCCTCGCAAACATTCCAGCAACCTCCCTGTGGTCTGACTGGTGGGAAGACGATTCCCAGGTCTGGCGGCAATCCCCAGATGGCCTCCCCAAAAGGGCAGCAATCCATCAACTGACCGCCCCCACGATTGTAGTTTATGGTCAAGATCTTCTGGCCCTTTGGCCAGATGATGGCTTACACTCAGGTTATTGGTGCAGTATACGATACGACGGGGATGAATCAGACCGGATCCGGTCCCTTCCTGAAGTACCAGCTCAAGTCCCTCGCTCGCCGGTGCCCCCCCACCACCACCACCACACCCGCCAACACCGCCACTTCCAACCTGCAACAACACCGCTCCCCCGCGCGCCCCCACCGGCACCGGCGGCCACGCGGGTTGACCGGTTTGAGGTGGCTCTGCGTTCAGGTACGAGGGCCAGACCTATGCCTACCCGATGATCTGCTACTGGGCGGTCTTTACAGAGATCACGACTGTGGTCTTCATCTCGTACTTTTCGCTTTTCCAGCCCATCGGCATGATGGAGCTTAACACGGGCAATCCAGCGGGTGACCTTGGAGCCGTGATGATGATGTACGGCGTGATGTCGGGCATCCCCGGCGGTATGCTCGCCGCGGTCTGGTGGGCGGGCTGCCTAACCGGCGGGACCAAAAACATGACGGTCGCCTACTTCATGGCCCCGCGCGTCGGGCGCACTACCACGATCCTGGCGATTGCCACGCACACATACCTGATGTTCTGGACGTACGGCCAGTTCTTCCTGTGGCATACATTCCCCATTTCGTCCCTCTGGCTGTGGTCCGTGCCCATCTCGATGGTCTACTTTGGCATCCTGTGGAACTCCATCCCGTACCTCTCGGACGGGCCGGCGACGTGCTTCGCCCACGGTTCGGGTGCGCTCATCGCGCTCGGCATTTGCACGACGCTCGCTGCGATGGTGATTTATATTGCCCGCTACGGCTGCTTCATGTTCCCGTGCCTCTGTGCGCCGGACGTGCCGGGGTGGGTCTTCTTCCCTCCCTCTCCGGACCTCTCCAACCCAGCCGTGGCGGGCGTGTGGGATCACAAGCTCCTGTGCCTCTTCTTGGAGCGCGCCGCCGAGCTGCTCTGGGACCCGGCGGCCGCGCTGAGCCGCGAATGCTTGTGGGAGCCCGAGGAGGCCGAGTACCGGGGCTTCACGTGCCCTCCACAGCCTGAGGCACGGCCGACGGTAGTCACCCGTGTCACTCTGCTCCTTTTTGCCTCCGTAGGATGGAGGGGAGGACGTACGTCACATCCTTCCCGCTGGACACGTCGGCTTATCCGCGAGGAATGCACACGGGCGTCGGCATGGCCAACGATATAGGCCAGAAGTTGGCCGAGCTGGAGGCCGTCGTCCTCTAGCCGTTGTTGCGCGCACATCTAGGGGCCGCACATGCCAGGAGAGCGCGCCGAGTACATTGGATCTCTCACCTTCAGGGTCTCTGTACTCGGAAAGTCGGGAGTAATTATTGCAACGCGACGTTTTATACGGTCCAACAGAGAGGAATCGAAAGAATTATCTCTGACTTCGGCCTTCGCCCCCACGCGCCCGCCGCCCGGCGGGAGTGTGCTGTGTGGAGCTGGAGAGGATCGATAAGATCTATTTCTATCGGTGTGATTCTATCAAAATCTCTATCGATTTTGGGGGGAGGTTGCAATGGGGGCTACGGCTTTACATGGGGCGGAATGCTTTCGGAATGAGTATAGCTGTCCGCGCCTCGACAGCGGAAACCCAGCGGGACGTGCGCTGCTTCTGAGAGGGACCGCTGGCTATGCTGGGAGCTGTGTGCGCGAGACCGAGAGATGGAGAGAGAAAGAGAGAGAGGGAAAGGGAATCTGTGACTGTGTGCGGCCAACGGCCAAGCTGAGGAGGGGAGCAAATCCTGCGGCAGAGCTCTCGCACTCACAGGACCGGAGGGCTCTGATTCGCCGTCTTGAAGCAGTCCAAGCACGGCCAGCCGCCTACGGCACAATGCGGGCGGTGCGCCCCCCTCGGCCGCCCTCCCCTCCCTGTTCCTTGACCCTCACCTGCAGCGTCTCTGCGCTGCATCGCCGATCGGTCCCCTCTCTCTTCCGCCGCCGTGATGTGCTCGAACCTCGCGATCAGCTCCCGCACGTCGATGCCTGCGGGTGGCGGAGAGGCGGGCAAAGGAATGCGTGAATTGTGCGGAGGAGGCGCCGCCGGCTCGGGATGCGAGCTCTGGGGATGCGATTCGGGGATGCGAACTGGAGGGGCGCTCGATGCAGGGCAGTGCTGCTTGGAGGGCCGCGCCTCGCTCGCCCGCCTCCTTCTCCACCATGCCAAGCACCTGACGCGAGGCGTGGATCTCCGCTCAGTCTCGCGCGGCGGACCCCGCCCAAAGCCCACGCCACGCGCGCACCCGGGCCTCCCACTCGGACAGCGACACCTGTTCACAGCTCTTCTTTCACAGCTCCTCATTCACAGCTTGAGGACGGGCCTTTTCGTCGGAGAGCGCGACCCCGTCCGCTGGCGGGGTGGCCGCCTCCGCCTCCGCCTCCGCCTGCGCCTCCGCCTGCGCCTCCGCCTGCGCCTGCGCCTGCGCCTGCGCCTGCGCCTGCGCCTGCGCCTGCGCCTGCGCCTGCGCCTGGGCCCCGCCTGAGAGCTGCGGCCCGAGGGGAGGGGCGACGGACTCGACGGGAGGGAGCGGCGCCGGCGAGGTCGCCTCCTGAGGGGGGAAGGTGAGGGGGGAAGGGAGGGAAGGCGGTGCGGCGGGGAGGGCGAGGGGACAGACGGAGGCGGCCGAGATTCTTCCGAGCGTACCTCCGGGTCGCAGACCAGGACGGGCGTCGTGCCGGCGGCCAGGACTGGCGTCGTGCCGGCGGCGCTCTTTCCCGCGACGAGGCGCTGCGCGTCGCCGAAGGAGGGCACCGTGGTGGGGAGGGCACCTGCGCGCGCGGCGTGACGGTGTGCGAGGAGGGGCCGGGAGGGCGTCGGGTCTCATGCGGTGAGGCGCCCTCGCAGGGCGGAGATCGCTCGAGGGACTCGGCCTCCCTGACCTCGCGGCTGGCCTGCGTGGGGCGGCGCGGTGGGCTGGTGCCAGAGCGGGTGGGCGTTGAGGGCGCGAGGGGTGAAGGGAGGGGCGGAGAGGGGAGGGGCGGAGAGGGGAGGGGCGGAGATGGGAGGGGCGGAGAGGGGAGGAGAGGAGAGGGGAGGGGCGGAGAGGGGAGGGGAGGAGAGGGGAGGGGCGGAGAGGGGAGGGGCGGAGAGGGGAGGGGAGGAGAGGGGAGGGGCGGAGAGGGGAGGGGCGGAGGAGCGTGCACCTCTCCGCCGTCGGCCGAATACGGGACGGGCCTACAGTGCCGCGGGCCGAATGTCAGCACTGACGCAGTCGCACGGCAGGCTCCCGTGAGGCGGCGGCGCGCGCCTCTCGAGATCAGAGAGTGGCGGCCCGGCCAAGCTGCCGCGGTTGGAGTGGGCGCTGAGGCTGCCCGACGACTGACGTGCGGCCTGGGAGGTGGGAGGGAGGTGGGAGGCGCGAGGCTGGGAGGCGCGAGGAGGAGGGGAGGGAGGGAGGCGAGGGGAGCAGGGGGGGAGGGAGGCGAGGGGAGCAGGGGAGACACTCCTTGTCCATCTTGATCTCCCAAAATGGCTTGCTCTTTGCGACGCTGCGCGTCCGCTTGTGCGTAGGTGCCCCCTCGGGCGGCGGCGAGCAAGGCGGCTCGGACTGAGGCGTCTGCGTCACATCGGGCTGTGGCGACGAAGGCGGCTCGGATTGAGGCGGCGTCTGCGCCACTGTCTCTGGCGGTGGAGGGCCTGCGGCGAGTGTCCGCTGCGGAGAGAGCGGCAGCGCGTACGGAGAGAGCGGTGGCGGTGGCGGCGCACAGTCCTCATACGGCGGCACGGTTCGGCTCACGCACTGCTTCCTGCCCTTGTTGTTCCAGAACGGCCGCGACAATGTGTGGCGTATCCGCCGGTTGCCAGAAGGGCCAGATGTCTCCTCATCGTCAGCGGCAGGACAAGTCCGCTCGCGAAGCGTCTCTCTCCGGCGCGCGAAGGGCTTACTCATAGAGCGGCGTATCCCACGTGGGCTTGCCACCTGGCATGCTGGCTGCGTGTCGGTCATGAGAGCACACCTGGAAGGAGGCTGATCGCGAACGCAGCGTCCGCACACAGCTTGCCAGAAAAAATTCTTCGGCCCGCAGTGTCTGGTGTCTACTAGCCCCGAGTAGAGGGGGCGTCCCGCTGCTAGGGGAAACCCGGAGCGCAGAGCTAACCCTCGGGGACCCGTGTTTACTTTACGGCCCTCTCCCTGCGAACGCGCACCCCCAGGGCTAGGGCTCTCTAGCCCGTAACCCGATGCCAATCATCCGGCCCGCTGGGTGCGCTTCTTAGCTCCCCGGCCCCGGATGTGAGGCTAATGACTGCACTCCAAGTGCTCCAAGTGCTCCGGAACGTGTGGTTGCTGACTGCACTCCAAGTGCTGCAAGTGCTCATCGTGAACTACGACAAGGGAGGCCACGCCTCCCCGAGATCGATGAGGGGTCGGCGGAGGGGGGGGGGGCGAGCCGAGTACGATAGAGAGGCCGCGGGTGCGGGCGCGATTCCTCGACCAAGGAGAGCCGGCCCGATCGATCCCGGGGAGGGGAGGGGGCACGACCCAATGCCACCGTCCTCGCCCGGGGAGTCGGGCACGGGATCGCCGGAGGCCGCGGAGTCAACGGGATCAGGCAGAGAAGACGAGACGGCGACGGGGCCGCGGCCAAAGAAGGCTAGGAGGGGAAGCCGGGCCCCGCATCCGTTGCCCAACCAGCGGAAAGCGAGCGGGGGGGGAGGACCGGGAGGAGAGGAGAGCCCCTCCGGATCGAGGGTGGGGAGGTCGAACGGAGAAGCCCTGAGGGACGTGACGTCGAGTGAGGATGTACGTCGTGTGCGTGTCTGGTGTTTATTCGCTCCGAGTAGAGGGGGCGCTCCGCAGCTAGGGCGTAGGGGAAAACCGGAGCGCGGACTAACCCTCGGAGACCCGTGTTTACTTTACGGCCCTTTCCCTGCGAACGCGCACCCCCCAGGGCTAGGGCTCTCTAGCCCGCAACCCGATACCGATCGTCTGGCCCGCTGGGTGCGCTTCTTAGCTCCCCGGCCCTGGATGTGAGGTTAATGACTGCACTCCAAGTGCTCCAAGTGCTCAGGGCCTGCTCGCCATCCAGACATGGGTACGAAACAACGACACGACCAAGGCACGGGCACTCGGGCAGAGGAGCGAGAGAAGAACATAGGATGGATAGGGCGCCTGTTCACGGCATGGAGGGCGGCCACGCCGAACGGAAGGAGTCCGGAAGACGAATCGATCACGACGACACGCCACTAGCAATCCCGTCGTCAGATGTCACGATGCACCGAAGGGGCCCCAGCGCCAACATCATCTGTGGAGGTAAAAGTGTGTGAGTGTTAGAGTTGTTTGGTATTGCTAAATCTCTCTCTCTCTCTCTCTCTCTCTCTCTCTCTCTCTCTCTCTCTCTCTCTCTCTCTCTCTCTCTCTCTCTCTCTCTCTCTCTCTCTCTCTCTCTCTCTCTCTCTCCCTCTCTCTCAAGTGTCCGAAACGAGAGTCGGAGAGTGGACCTGAGCAACGACATGAGACTTGGCGGCAAATGATCAGAGTGGGTGTGTCAGAAGAGTCGTCCTTGCGCGAGGAGAGCTGATAAATTCGCCGCGAGGAGGGCGGAGTCGCGCCGAGAGGCGGGAGAAGCCGCGAGAGCAAGGGGGATCGGCAGGCGGCGGCGTCGTCGCAGAACGAAGGCAGAGAGGAGAGTGACGGGAGTACCAGAGGATGAAGCGACAGGAGAGAGAACTACGAGAGTCTCGAGACGAGAGTGGGACGACCGCGAGGTGGCATGAAGGTTGCAGCGAGAATCGGCGAGGGACTGCGAAGAGAGATAGGAAGAGGCAGACGCCCAAGGGGTGGGCGGGACGGCTACCGGCTAGCACCACACGCACCTCCTTCTGCTTCTCCTTAAAATCCCTGTGTGCAGTGGGCGTGGTGGCGGCGTGCCGTCCTCCCAAGTCCTGGGCGTGGTGGCGGCGTGCCGTCCTCCCAAGTCCCATCCCTCCCTTGGGTTGTCTGTTTCCTTTCTTTCTTTTAGATCTTGCTCGTGCACGTGGGGACCCCCTGTCCCCTTCTCTCGCGGCCCAACCCCCCCTCGCGTTTTGGCGTGTCCGTTTTAACTTTTATTTGAATAATTAACACTCGCGGCAGGGGCAGAAAGAGAGTCCGGAAGCCTCTCCCCTCGCCCCTACAAACCAAAGACACGTGAGGCAGGCACCAGAGCTCCGTGCAGTCGACCGCAGCTACTAGCGGCCGCCTGCGTCGCCCGCGCCGTCCTCGCACTGCCTCCGGCGCTTGCGGCCGCGCACTGCCTCGCGAATGCGCCTCGCTTGCTCGGGGGAGATCCCGTCAAGCGGCGCGACCACCTGCTCCTTCCCATCCCCATCCCTCGCGCCCACCTCAGCGGCGGCGTCCTCCGTGACGGCGGCGGCGGCCCTGCCGTCGGTGACGAGGCGGGTGACTGGCGACCCGCGCTGCTGCATGTAGGTCTCCAGGGTTTGGAAGTCGTTCTCGATGTAGTTGAGGTGGTCCGCAATCAGGTGCGAGGACTGGCAGCCAGGGCACGTCACGATCACGGTCCCGCGGGTGTACGCGTGGTGCGAGATAGAGTGCGAGTTCCGGCAGCCGCACTGGTTGCAAGTGAACTGCAGCTCAAACCGCGACTGCTTCCGCTTTGGCTTGCGCTGCGCCTGCTTTGACGGTGTGCGCTTTGCGAGGATGGCTCCAGCGCGAGACGGCTCCATGGCGTCCACCTGAGCGGAGCTGAAGCCCAGCGCAACCAGCTCCTCGCGCATAGCGCGCGTAATCATGAACTGCACCGACGCCACCGAGCGCCCCGTGTCCTCGATGGCTCGACCAGACCCGTCAGCGACGCGCGAAACCCGCAAGATCCGGCCATCGGGCGCCTCATCGTCGTCCACCGGCCCAGGAGTGTGAACCAGCTGCGCCAGAGGCTGCGTGGCCCGGGCGGTCTTGCCAGGTCCGCGATACGCCAGGCTCGCTGCCTGCGATGAGGGACAGGCGCTAAAGCCGCTCAGATTGACGATCGCCACGATCAGCCAAGCCATGGACTGCACAGGTGTGAACAACTCGAGTAGAGGATGGTCATACGACGACGGTCAGGTGTGGTTGCCCAGGTGTGAACAACACCTCGTGCCACGGCGCCGCAGGCGCCTGTTGATGGGTCCAGGTGATAGCCCTGGATAGGAAATGCATACGCCTAGTTGGACCTCAGATCGCCCGACCGCGTCCCGGTGCTCTGTGGTCGGATTTGTGACGCCGCCGCACCACGCCGCGGCCGGGGGCCCTCCGGAGGCCAAGGATGGCCGTGGCGGACCGGGACGAGCTCTGGGAGGTGGAGTGTCAATGAGTAAGAGACAGACCGTGTGCACAATATCTCTCACTCTGGCTAAGCCAGGGGAGGCGATGCCGGGGCCGTACAGCAGCTTGATGGTGCTTCGCCGGCGTGCGTCCCGGAGCGGTCCCGGACGGGCGCCCAGGGGAGGAAAATGGAGGACAACGCCGACACCGCTCTGATTCGACTTTTAACTTCAAACAAAGACAGTCGCACACGCCACAGCGCGGCGCGTGCGACTGTCAGGAGCGGATCCGTCAGTTAGTCGAAGTCGTGTGGTTCACGCCGGGTCCCGGGATCGTGTCCTCCACAACCTGGGCAACCATTCAGGGCGACGAGTAGTTACTCGTGCAGGTGGGGACCCTGATCCCTGTGCTTCTCCCACCCTCGTTTGGCGGGTCCGTTTTATTTATTTATATATTGGCCGTACTTACCATAGCAGCGCGCGGAGGGGGCCGGAGGGGGGCGGGGCGGGGGGCTCTCGAGTCACGAGTGTCCCCCGAGAGCGGGAGCGACACGGTACACACGGTCACGGACGGAGCGGGTTAGGTTTTATTTCTATCTCTAAAAGTATCTAGATCGTGCCCTCACGAGTCAGGGCCGTCAGCGCCGTCACTCCCTAGCCGCCGGCCTTCACATCACAAGCTGCTCATCTTGATGGAGTGCACGCTCCAGTGCTTTGCCCTCGGGCGGCCCTCCGCCTCTCCCTCCTCCTCCTCCCACCGCCCCTCGGCCGGGTAGTAGACGGTCTGCCGCTCGAACGCCTTGTACGGCACGCCCGGCCGCTGGACGCCCTGCTGCGCGTCCAGCCAGTCCAGGTTGAGCCAGACGAAACCGTCGGCGTCGACGCGGTAGTGGTAGGTGCGGCCGAGCCATCGCGAGCGGGGCAACGCCGCACGCACCCACGCGGAGAGCCGCGAAGGCCGCTTGCCGAGCCGCACCTCGGCGAGGAGCTGGCAGACGGGCCGCACCTCCTCGGTCTCTCCGCGCAGCAGCGCCGCCTCCAACGGCGCCACCTCCCGCGGGGGGAGGCCTACGGACAGGACGCGGCTCGCTACGGCAAGGCTAGCGGCGGCGTGGACGGCCGACCGCGGGCGGGCGCCTTCGGCTGGCTGCGGCGGGAGGGGCACGCCGGCGGAGCAGCCGACGCTGATGCGGACCTGCGCGCCGAGCAGCTGCATCAGGCACGCGATGAAGATCGCAAACTTGTTGCCGTCCCCGCCGGCGTTGACGAGGTGGTCGGCCGCCGGCAAGAGCGGCCTCGCGGACGCGAGCGCCGGCCGGTGCGTGAGGGGCTCCGGCTCCTGCCCAGACGGGGCCTCGAAGGCGGCCTCCTTGTACTCGCGCCTACGGGACGTGTCTCCGGCGTGTCGAGGGGCGTGTGCTGGACACGCCCCGCTCCCGCCCGCCCTCGCGCCGGAGGCGGTGCTGCTTGACCGCCTCGACGATGGTGCGCATCAGCCGCGGCTCGAGCGCCTGGCGAGTGCGCGAAGGGAGGCGGTGTGAAGGAGCGCGGGCCGGCCTCCCTACCGCGGTTGCCGTGGCGCACGTCTGCGAGTCCCATCAGGCGCAGCAGCTCGCGGAAGGCTTGCTTGTCGGAGAGCTCGCCGCTCGCCTCGCCGACGTAGTTTGCGAGCACGGTGCTCACCAGCTGCGGCAGCTTGAGCAGCCGGCCGTAGTGCTCCTCCTGCGGAATAGGCGAGGCGCGGGCTGGGGCGCTGGGTGGGGGAGAGGCGCTGCGCGACAGAGAGGCGCTGGCCGGGGGAGAGAGAGGCGGAGTAGGAGGAGGCGATGCGGGAGAGAAGGGGGGGGGGGGGGAGAGGGAAAGGGGGGGGGGGGGGAAAGGGAAAGGGAAAAAGGGAAAAAAAAAGGGAGAGGGAAAGGGAAAAAGGGAAAGGGAGGGAAAAAAAAAAAAAAAAAGGGGGAAAAAGAAAAAGAGGCGGGGTGGGGACTTCCCCT